TAAGACTGCCAGCCTTTCTAGATCTAAGCATAGAAAGCCAGCTAAAGCTCAAAGCAAAACAAACAAAAGATGTATGACTAGTTGAAATAATTAGCTAAAACTCTGAACGAAACTAAAACTTTAACGGTGCCTCCTAGCAAATAAAATTTAAACTGTTGTGTATATAAACTCCACAACTTCACATTTTCAGAGTCTAATGTGATATTCAAACTGGCCAGAATTGCTGATATAAATATATGTACACTCTGTCCTTTACAACCTGAGCAGGAAGTATTGTTAAATGTTAATGAATGTGCAAATCAGTGAACTAGTGGTTGAAAGTTTTTATGGCAGGTCTGCATATTTGTAATTCTTCTTTATATTTGTCCAAAACAGAAAAATTAAGAATAGCTACTAATTTTTTTGGTACAATATATCATTTTAAAAAACATTTTTATTTTATGTGGGACAGTAGTTGATTTACAATATTGTGTTAGTTTCAGGTGTACAGCAAAGTGATTCACTTATACATATACATTTATCTCTTCCTTTTCAAATTCTTTTCCCATTCAGGTTATTACAGATTATTGAGCAGAGTTCCCTGTGCTACACAGTAGGTCCTGTTGGTTATCTACTTTAAATATAGTAGTGTAGGGCTTCCCTGGTGGCGCAGTGGTTGAGAGTCCGCCTGCCGATGCAGGGGACACGGGTTCGTGCCCCGGCCTGGGGGAGATCCCACATGCCGCGGAGCGGCTGGGCCCGTGAGCCATGGCCTCTGAGCCTGCGCGTCCGGAGCCTGTGCTCCGCAACGGGAGAGGCCACAACAGTGAGAGGCCCGCATACCGCAAAAAAAAAAAAATATATATATATATAGTAGTGTGTATATGTTAATCCCAAACTCCCAATTTATCTCTCCCCTCACCACCTTTCCCCTTTGGTAACCATAAGTTTGTTTTCTATGTCTGTGAGTCTGTTTCTGTTTTGTAAATAAGTTCATTTGTATCAATTTTTTTAGATTCTGCATATAAGCGATGTCCTATTATATTTGTCTTTCTCTGACTTACTTAGCATGATTATCTCCAGGTCCATCCATGTTGCTGCAAATGGCATATTTCATTCTCTTTAATGGTTGAGTAGTATTCCATTGTGTATATATATATATATATATACACACACATCTTTATCCATTTAGGATATTAAGTTGCTTCCATGTCTTGGCTATTGTAAACAGCGCTGCAGTGAACATTGCGGTGTATGTATCCTTTCAAACCATGTTTTTCTCTGGATATATGCCCAGGAGTGGATTGCTGGGTCATATGGTAGTTCTATTTGTAGTTTTTTAAGGAAGCTCCATACTGTTCTCCATAGTGGCTGTACCAATTTACATTCCCACCAACAGTGTAGGAGGGTTCCCTCTTCTCCACACCCCGTCCAGCATTTATTATTTGTAGACTTTTTGGTGATGGCCATTCTGACTGGTGTGAGGTGATACCTCATTGTAGTTTTGATTTGCATTTCTCTAATATTTAGCGATATTGAACATCTTTTCATGTGCCTGTTGGTCATCTGTATGTCTTCTTTGGAGAGATGTCTAGAATAACTACTAAATTTTATATATATCACTCTTCACTTTTAAATATATTAATTAATTCATAAATTCTCTGTGCCATCTCCTTTGCATTATCATGCTCAGTACTCACCATGTGCCCACAGCCACAGAGGAGTGACATTCCCCTATTTTGTGCCGACATATCTTTCTAGATGAATACAGGACAGTTATTCTGCAATCAAGGAAATACAAATGTAGTTGGAGAAGTGAAAACACAAAACAATTAAAAAACATATTTAATGGTTTTCTCTGTGGTAAAGTTCTTCATAATTCAATCTTACTTTATTGCTGTTTCTAAGGTTTAATATACATAGGTTTACCTATGTAATATATCAATAAATATGAATAACTTAGGTCACTTTGTTAATTCATACATTAAGCATATGTTTATTGATCACTTACTGTTTTCAGGCAGTGCTCTAGGTTCTGGGGAATTAACAGGAAAAAAATAGCTAAAGTAAGTCCCAGTCCTCCTGGAGCTTATTATCTAGTTTTAGCTATTGTCTTCTCTCATGGTTTTCAGTGATGGGAAACTCTTTCTTAACATCCTAGTGATTTTTGAATGAATGATGGATTTTATACATAAAAATGTATAGAGGATCTAGATGATACTTTATTCTTCCTGAAAAGGTTCACTCTTTCCTCTATTAGTTGGAAAGAATAGAAGCTGATCACTTTAATTCAGTCATGGAATGGACTGGGTAAGGACTGATTTACAGCTTCATCAAGGACCCATACATCTCTGGTTTTCTCTAGCCTGCCACATCCCTGTATATCTTGGGCCATTCTCTCTAGCAGGCTCTGAACTATAATAGTTTCCTCAGCATGGTGAAGTTGCCAAACCTCTGCTATACTTTACAGAGACTTTCTGCTTCGTCTCTCAGCATCCCCAGTGTTCAAGTTCATAATTTGGTAAATGTCTTGAAAGGACAACCAACTGTGTATCATGCTCTCTTCTAGGCCTCTCTTTTCTCACAAGAATCTTGGCTCCTTAAATTTCAAGTGTTGCCCCTCTAACCCACTGAGACTGCCCTCTGCCCAGGAAAACCCCAGATCCTCCTCTTCCTGCCTTGCACACAGAATCAGTTAATGTCTCCAGAGAAAATATAGTATAGCTAACTTTTCCACAATTCTCTCCAATCTGGTATCTTGGTTTTTCTTGTCCTCATTGCTTCATCAGCTCTCAGATGCCTTTAAGCAGATTTTGGGAGTGACTTTTATATTTTGTTTAGATCTTTTCGTTGTTCTTGGCTGGATCATTGGTCTGTTGCATGCTTACCATCTCATCCCTATTTTTAGATACTGAAATAGAAGAATGATGCCTTCTCTTACACACATCTATACAACCACAAAGAATGTAGCCAGAAATTTCTACCCCAGCCCAATGTATTCTAGAATTAATTGGCAGAGTGGACACGTAGAGATGTATCATTGAACAAAATCTTCAAAATAGATGTCATTGAAAAAGCTGGACAATTAACAGAGCTAATACTCCATAGTACACTGAGCTCACTGCCCAAGAACTGCTTAGATGGATGAACTCAGTATAAGTGGAGTCCAAAACCTAATGGTAGCTCTGGGGAGTTGTAGCTTCTGGATGTGACTCTTGACTTCTTATTATGAATTATCTTCACAGGAAGTAATTCTTGATTGTCATTGTCTTACTAAAATACTGGGGAACAGAGATATTCTTTGTGTTTTTTATATCTCTACTAACACTTGTAGGAAGAAGGTATAGCACAGTGGTTAAGTGCCTGGATTTGGGAGTCAATCAAATTTAGATTCAAATCTTGTCCATTTACTAGATGCTTGACCTTGAGAAAGTTGCAAAAACTCTCTAAAGCCTTAATTCCATATCTGTGAAACAGGAATAACAATAGATTTCACTTTTCTGATATGAAAGTTGATGGAGATTCAGTTTTCAAAGTGCTAATAACAATCTCTAGAACATTGCTAGCATGCAATTTATGGTAGCTAAAATTTTTTTGGCTATTATGGAAGCGCATGGAATTAGAGACCCAGAATTTTGAGATGAGACCTTAATATATATACATAGCCCCTCCATAGACTTCAAGATATTTACATAGCCCCTCCAAAGAATGAAGCATGTGGAAAAGAATTGTTTTGAGAATTCATAAGTTTGTTTTTGTTGTTAAAAAACTATGTAAATACCTGTTTATGTTATGGATAAAAAACTATCTGAAATAACTCTGGAAAAAAATAACTGAATTGGAAATGGTTTAATTCTCAGCGACTTCAAAAATGTGCTTCTTCATAGTTTCAATAGATAACTAACAAACATATCATTCTCTACTGCATATTGTTTTAAAGTTAATACTCCAATATGAAATAAAAAGTTAAAAAATGAAGTTAATCTAAGAAGAGTCATGTTTAACTGGAACTCTAAGTTGTACAGGTATTATCATGTTTAAGAAAAGGAACAAAATTTAAAGGAAAAGAAACCTAGCAACTAACCCCAATAAATTAAAAAAATAAATAAAGTAAAAGAAATCTGAGTGAAAAACTTAGAGTTAAAAATAGAGAGAGAGACAAATTTGGTTCCTAGCTACCATCCATTTGTTATGTGGTATTGATTGAGCAGGTTAAGTGATCTCTTTGAGTCCCGTTTTTCTCAGAGAAATTACAAGATGGTAAAAATGATACTTATAATTTTCTTGACTATCAAACAAGAAAATGAAAATGCTTAATAAACAATAAGCATGGTCACATTACTTGTACTTAATGATTGGGTGTACCTATGAATCTCTCTTTGAGCTGTGAGGCATATGAATTGGTGTTATATAGGAAGAAAACAAGAATTAGCTATGTAAAAAGAGTGATGAAATGAAGTCTTCTGGTTATTGCTATTTAAGTAATAATTTAAACTACGTATATTTGAGTCAATTTTTACATCACTGTGTGGAAAATTTTCTCTAATCTTGATATTCTTCTGAACATTATTCAGATATATTATACCTAAAGCCTATTCCCAGCACCTTTTCAATAGTTCTGACTCGACAGAACTGAAGGAAAGTGAACCCTTCTCTTCCTTTCAAGTTACTCTAATTCAGGAATTGTTTCTGCGCTCCTCATACTTGAGTGAGTGTGAAATGATGCCTTTGCTGAGTATTTCTGTTTGATTTTCCAAAAGCTATTGTCAGTCCTATAGCTCAAAAACAAAAGGCACGTGGTAATTGGTATAGTCACAGTCAGTCTTCAAATCTAGTTGGAACTGACCCAGGCACCCTCAGAGCTCCTCCTAGCCTTTCAGATTTGTAAGCATAGATGATGAGACGAAAGCAAGAAAGCTTGTGGAAAGGGGAAGAAGCCCCTTTGCGTGTTGCTGAACCAGAAAGCTTTGACTGTATGGCTCTCTGAGTCCGGACAATGTCTTGTGTGTTTGTTTCCACAGAGCGTATATCATTACAGACTATATGGGCATCCGAAATGAAAGTTTCATGAAATTAGCTGCAGTAGGGACCTGGATGGGGGACTTTGTCACAGCTTGGATGGTAAGAAATTTTAACTTCACCCATTTCAAACATCAGATGGAAGACATGTTCATAATGTTGGATACACACTACTTTTTTTTTTAACAAATAACTTCATGAATTATTTTATTTCATGTTACATGTCAAATAACATTCCAAAGTAAAAAAAAAAAAGGATCTTGTTTTCATGGTTAGCATTATTACATTTGTGCAGAGCCCTCAAACATGAGAAAGTCTCATTTATTTCACAAAATTTGAACGTACAGTCATTTCAGTAACTGGTTTGTTAGATAATCCAAGTCCAGTTATCCCCGGTTTTTCAAGCAACAAGTCACAGGAAATGCTGAGCTCTAACTGTTCGTGTGCCTGTCAGCCCAGCATCCTGATCTCCAGCCCCTTTTTGACACAGCCGTGCTCTTTGTTTTGTTATATCATTCCTCTGTCCTCTCAAGGATTAGAGATATAGTTTCATTTTCTCAACTAATGTGAGTTGGATTTTATTGGATACGCATTGCTTTTCATGGTTTAGAGCAAAATAGTTACCTCTGTTTCAAGGGGAACAAATTCATCAATATGGACAAATCTAGAGATTATATGCAATATCTGTTTACCTCAGGTAAAAACGTCAATACAATTTTAATACTAATGACTGTCCACCAGGATATATTTATTTATAAAATGCATATATATGTGTATGTACAAAAACATATACATATGCACATATGTGTGGCATACAAACATATACACATTCATAAAATTAGTGGAAAATTCTTTCCTGTGAAATTCTAAATAATTTTGTGAAGATTGTTTGTTGTTTTCTGACATGTACACTTTTCAGGTAAGAAATACTGTATGGCCTGTCTCAAAAGACCATATGAAACATTCTTTAAGGACTTTAAAAATAGTTTTCTACATTTGTTTTCCTCAATGAACCTACTAACTTAATGGTAACTAAGGAGTTCTGAGAGTTGTCTGTTTTAATCTGTTTTGTGCCTTATCAGTCTTTGTTACTATACGTCTGCAACAATTAGACAAACCATGTTTCATGCTGAGTTCATCTGCCAGGAGAGTAACTTCTGTTTCTAACCATTGAGTTAATTAAAGACAGTATGTAGCTTAAAGGCCCTAGGTCCTGTAAGTTTACAGGAGAGTCTCAGAGTGCAAAGAGCGTGACTCTCATAAAAAAGGAACACTTTAACCTTCATTGACACCTTTCATAAGTGTAGCCAATCCTGACACCTTTCATAAGTGTAGTTAATCCTAATTAGCTTTACTCAAATTCATTCACTTGAAAATGAGAGGACTTATCAAAAGGAAGATGATGCCCAAACTAAACACGATTTGGCAGGGACGTGCAACTACAGATGTGTTCCTGATACTGCAGGGAGATTCTCACAACAGTTACTGCCACTTCTATTGATAGTTTTGCTTCTTACCTAGAACAGGTGTTTTCAGGGCACAGGAAGCAGTTATATCTTAACTGCTACTACTGTCATCATCCTGCAAGAGTATCAAGTAACCATAAAAGAGTTTGTCTAGCCTGTTTTTGAGCTCCCTCCCACTTCTGTTCAATTTTAGAATGTTACCAGAACAAATTACCAGATGCATTCCATTTTGTTAACTTTAAAATCGAAACTTGAAGATGTTATTTATTTGTAATCATTAGAAATAGCAATGAGAATAAGCCAGACATTAAGACCAGGCTGCCTCATCTATTTCCATTGGAAAAAACTATTTAAAAGGAAATATATGAACTTTAAGCTTGTAATTTCCTTAAAATTTAAGGTAATGCCTTTTGGAAATTTCTGCATTAATTGTGGATTATGATTTTTGACTCCACTTTATGATGGCTCTACTTACTAAAATGGAAAAGAGAACTGGAACGAGAGTTCAGAAATTTGGATTCTCTGTTGCCACCTATGGTTTGACCTTCCACAAATAATGTACAATCCTTTGAGCCTCAGTCTGTACATTTCTTAAAAGGGATTAATAGTTCCTACTGGTGCTACAGGTTTTTTGTGACGATTAAACGTGTGGTCCTAGAGCAGGACTTAAAATGCTGACATGTAAGGGAGGTATAAGTGCTTTATTGTTATTGTTCATGATTTTGGACCCCCATCCTCTTGACTGGGCCCAGTTCCTTGAAGTAATGGCAAAGGCAGGTCATTGATCCAAACCTTAGGCTTCCCAGACTTCCTGTCTCTTCTGTGAAGCTCCAGGAGCATGAGAATCCCACCTTATCCCAGGCATGGGGTTCAGAGCATCTGGAGTTTCCTTCCTATTGTCCATGCTAGAACAGACTAAACCAGTATAGTACTTTGCTTCCTTACTTCTGCCTGATACTGATCCTGACCAAAGTCAGGGGAGAAGCAACAGACCAACAAAACCTAAGAGCTGCTCTGGAGTTTTCAGGCTCAAGTTAGCCATTTGATGCATAAATCACTTTATTTCCCATGATGACATCATTATTTATTTGTAACCCAATTCCACCCAACTTCTCCCCAGACTTTCCCACAAAACAGTGTTTCCTAGGCCATATATAGCTCTGCCCCTATTTATTGGTTATATTATTATTATTTTTAATTAGGCTATTTTTCTTTTGAACCATATGGTGGGGTCCAATGCCTAGGCAGCATTGAGAGGCAAATGCATAGTACAGCTTTGACCAAAGACCTTTAACCCTTCCTGGTTGGATTTTTACCATGCACTCTTCTGCCCTACTCTTATGGTTTAGGGGAGTACCAATAATTCCACAGTTCAATCTGTAGTCTTTCTCTCTCTCCATCATCTCTCTTACCTTCAGAGTTTCTCCTAAATTTACTACTTTAATGCCTTCTCTTTCTACTAACCAACCTGATAACTTTTTACCTTTTCCTATACCATAGATTACTGCTCCAATCAATACTTCCAATACCACAGAAGTAGGACTAGATTGAGGGTCAAGAAAACTATGTTATAGGTTTAACCCAGCAAACCTTTTGGGGCCTCTCATCTGTTCCTTTCCGCAAACTGAAGAAGAATCAAAATCCCTTTCTGCTTATGTAATCTGAAAAACTGACCTTTCCCCATTAGCCACAAGGATAGAAATGGCAAAAGAAACAGTTCTCTCCTGATTTGAAAGTACAGTCACCCAGGGAGGATTCCCAGAGCACATCATTTCTATTCCCATTTCTATTCACTGACTAGGCGGTACGTTTCCATATAAATATTTATATGTCTACATATGTGTCATTGATAACATTTTAAAAAAATAATAGTTTTCCTCATGAGAGGAGTCTAAGGAAGCTTTGACCTTCATTTCTCCATAGAATTCTCATCATGAAGGTGACCGTTGTGGAAAACCAACGGACTATTTACATTTCCAATAAAAGCGTGACTTTCAATGCAGTTCAGAAATAGAGGCTTTTTCTTTGGTGGAAATAATTCAGAACTTTTCCTTGGTTTTAAAAGGCACATCAGGACTGATGTGATCCACAGGCAAGGCTGATATCAACCAATCTGACAAAAATCTTTGACCCTCACACTACCGAGTGTCGAGCTCTGCTAGGTTCAGTTCCCTGGCAGTCCTGACTTTTTCGGGCTCTGTGGTATGCCTTGTATGGAAGGATATAAATATGTCAGGGTTCAAGTTACTAATTTTTTTGTCAAATAGACTTTTTAAAAATTAGTATAAAAGAAATACATAAAATGACCAGTGAGGTAATTCATCATTGAGCTGCCCCTTTATGTTAAGAGTTGCAGAGACGAGCTCTATCACGAGCACACGCAGAAAGCAAAAACGCTGGGTGTCTCATGCGACACCATTGCCATGTAGCCCCATGTTTGCCCATGCTCTGCGCCATTAAGCAAAGAGCCAAGGAGGGTCAGCTGTTCCACAGCACATGGCTCCAGCTTGACCACCTCCCCCATGTGGAAGACAGAGGTCACAGTCTCTGCTGAGGTCTAAGGTGACAGGGGATCCTGAGGACATCATGATGGCCCTTGCTTCTGCCCCTCACTTAATACCAGAGGGAAAAATCACTTCCTGTATATGTATACCTAATCATCATCCCCTTTCTCCATCTCCTGATTCCTCCTGCTCTGGTGGCTTTCTCTTACAGCAAAGTGATTCTGTTATATATCTGTTATATATATATCCACTCTTTTTTAGATTCTTTCCCATATAGGCCATTACAGAGTATTCAGTAGAGTTCCCTGTGCTATACAGAAGGTCCTTATTAATTATCTATTTTATATATAGTAGTGTGCATATATCAAACCCAATCTCCCAATTTATTCCTCCCCCTGCCCCTTATGCCCTTGGTAATCACAAGTTTGTGTTCTAAATCTGTACCTCTATTTCTGTTTTGTAGATAAGTTCATTGGTACCCTTTTTTTAGATTCCACATATAAGTGATATCATGATATTTGTCTTTCTCTGTCTGACTGACTTAGTATGACATATATATTCTTTTTTAGATTCTTTTCCATTATAAGTTATTATAAGATATTGAATATAATTCCCTGTGCTATACAGTAGGGCCTTGTTGGTTATCTTTTTTATGTATAGGAGTGTGTGTATGTTAATCCAAAACTCCTAATTTATCCCTCCCCGTCCTTTCCCCTTTGGTAACTGTAAAAGTTTGTTTTTTATGTCTGTGAGTCTGTTTCTATCTTGTAAATACATTCATTTGTATCATTTTTGTTGATGTAATTCTCCTAAATGGTGATGTAACCTTTTGTACAATTTTGCATTCTTTGGCAAAATAAAGATTGAGACTCTCAGATCCCCGCAGATGATTCCTTGAGTGGTCATTGTTGCTTTCAGGAGCATAGTTCTGCTCCTGGGGGCAACAGAATGAAACTAGGTTGAGATATATCCCTTTAGCCACTTAAGCAGAGAGCTTTTACTATACTATGTAAGACAGAAAATTGGTTAAACTTCAGTGGACAGAGGCAGAGAGGATTAAAGAATGGTGTATACTTGAGAATAATTTATACTCTGGGTTAGTATTTATTTACAAATCTAGAACAGAATAGAG